CTTATCCCCTCTCCTCCGCGGCGTCTCCAGTTCTTTTTTTTGTGTTTTCCCCCCCCCCCAAGCATTCCTTAGGCTACCTGAATCCCTGTGCCATCTAACTTACACTTACATTCACATTTGACTTCTGTGTACCCTCCAGGTCAGGTATCATTGTCCGTAAAGACCGTAACGCATGGCGGGGAGCATTTTTGTGAGAGCCACTCAGCAGATAAGAGAAGGAGGAAAACCGAGAAGGATTTCTTCCTCTCTCACACGACCTTCAAAAACACCGTGCACAGCCGTATAGAGAGGCTCTGATGCTGCAACAGGGAAATGCAGAACAATCGTAGTTGGAACACACTTTGCCTAGACTATGCCCGCTCCCTAACACCCAACTTGAAAGTGTCGAAACAAAAGAGAGTATTGGTCCTCAAAGCACTGTCAAAAGAAGAAAGCGGAGGCTTGCAAGTGCCACCACGGTCGCCCCTGTTTCGGAAGGCACTACACAGAATCCTAATCAGTCAAGTAATCACCAACAGAACACATGCCCACACAATGAATTTAATGAATACAGAGAAAACAACCAATTCACTCCGATTGTTACCACAGAGAACACATGCGACCAGGCATCTGGCCTGGCTGTGACGATCTCGTTTCTGTAAGGGCGCCTTCTTCTGCGCAGTAGTGCTGAGGGGGATTGGAGATAAGGTGGGGGATGGAGAAGAAAGGACTGGGCCCGACCTCACTACTTCTTTCGGCTGGGACCACGACACTTGGGAGGGCGCGCCATAGCAAGCGAGGAAAATAAGGGTTGACGCAGCGTCTTTTCTTTCTTTATGTTTTGTTGACGACGGAACTGGGCGAGGAATTCTTGGCGTGGTTACTGAACGGGAAAATTTTCTTGCATTTCTTTTTGAATTTTGAACATACACAGGTTCTCAGAATTTCTTCCTGCAATTAAGATTTAAATTGGGCTAGGAATTTGGTTACTGCAGGGGAAAATTTTCTTGCATTTCTTTTTGAATTTTGAACGTACACAGGTTCTCGGAATTTCTTCCTGCAATTAGGATTTTAAATTGGGCTAGGAATTTGGGAGCATTGTAACTTTTTGCTCTAACGGCATAGGGCTCCCTATTCGTGCGCGCATTACTGCGTACTGCTCTACGCCCTGCTCCCGCCGCGCCTAAATTCTAATTGCAACTGTAATTTCCCTTCTTGCTCCTTCTTGGCGAGCGCAGGTGTAACTGTAATCCGCTCACTTCTTGATCCCTTCCCTTTCTTCTGTCGCGCAAAGTTCTTTGCACCTCTTTTCCTGTCTATCGCATTGGCCCGTGGGAGCATAACTAGATCGATGCGTGGAGATTGGCTACGTCCCCCACCCCGCGACCCCGTAACGCACCCGCATGCACTTCCTCTTCCTTTCTGCTTCTCGCTTCAGCATAATACAGAATTACCTTCGCGCCTCCTGACTACTATAAAGCTCGCATGCGCGACTACTTCACTCTCTAATCGACACTTGGGAGTTAGCGGGGTCGAGAGGATCGGCTAACAAGTGGAGACAGAAAGGTGAGTAGGGAGTTGGGCGATCTGACGAGTTGGTGCTGGGTATGCAGGGTTGACGTATGGCCGCGAAGGACTGTGGCATGCAGGCGAACCTTGCTTCCACACTCGGACTAAGCGGGATGACAATTTCAGGTTGTTGATGGGTGCGAGATGACGGACTACCCGCATCAAGGGAATTTTGAGAGAGAGAGAGAGCGATAGAGATGGGGGCACGCTGAAGTGGGAATTGTTTTCTTTGCATCTTATGTGTAATTTTGATCTTTGGCCTCGGCAATTGCGACACTTTTTTACTTTTCTATCTTTTTCTTCGATTGATGCATGAGGCATCTCTTACCTCCCCCACCTCTTCGTTTTTTATTGTATTAATGATTTTATGTGTGGGGACACGTATGTGGTGTCACCTATCTTTGATACAAAACGGATATGTCCTTGCGGTGATCGGATGTGTGATCGGGCTGTCTCTTGCGACCGAACCGGATTAGAGCAGATGCACTGTGTGTCCGAAAATCGATTCAACGAGTGTTTCGCGTTGAAAAATTGAACGCGCATTGAATTCGCGTTCAATCCCCGTTCAAACGCGCGTTGGACGAGGATGAACGGGGTCTGCGAACCGCATTTCCGCGCGCTTGGGGGGGGGTTAGGGGTTTTGTGAAAGTGTGGGGTGGTAGTGTCCGTTTTCGGGTACCGCCCCATGCACTTTTTTTTTTTCTTAACCAAAAAAAAAGAAAACATGCGCGAACCCCTTAGCGTCCTGCAGGGCGTTCGCGGGGTGCCTGCTGGGGGGTGGCGCAGGGGAAACGGTCCGAACGGGTACAAAAACGATACTTGCGTTCAACCGCAGCTCATTTGCCGCGTGAGCCATAACGCTCCAACGCGACAGACGGGTTTCCCCTGCGTCGAACGCTGTGGACGAGAGAGAGAGAGAGAGAGAGAGAGAGAGAGAGAGAGAGAGAGAGAGAGAGAGAGAGAGAGAG